TCTCTCTTTACGCCAGAAACAGGTTTTGTTTACAGCTGGTGCACTGGACATGACTTGTAAACGTAAACAACTAACTACAGTGTTGGTTAGGCAAGGCGGAGAAGTGAGGAGCGGGGGGAGGGGGTGCGCGGACATTTCGTGCACGGAGAAGAGGTGAGGAGCAGAGAGAAGAGCGGAGCGGGGAGAGAGGAGAGAGGAGAGAGGGGAGCGGTGCGCGGAGATTCCGTACCCGGAGAAGTGAGGAGCAGGGGGAAGAGCGGAACGGGCAGCAGGGAGAGGAGCACGAAGGGGTGCAGAGAAGGGTGCGCGGAGATTCCGTGCGAATGAACTAGCTACAACACGCAGCGGCAAGCGGGCTCTTTCTTTGCCTTGAAAATTATGTTTTCAGACATAGGATATCGCTTTCGTGTCCTGAAAAACGTTTGTCTAGCTCTTGGAAATAAAGTACGTTTTCTTAATAAGCAGAAGTGACCTGTCCAGGAGTAATTTGGCGACCAATGCATCAGTCTTTAAACCCTTCGTCTGCGTCAGTCGCACCATCGCTGGAATGAATCTACAAGAATCACCTTAGTTTAGCTTCGCTGCTTTTCCACTTGTCTTCTTCTTTCAGCGACCTCAAAAACGGACTTTCTTTTGGGGATAACTGCTCCTGGATTCTTGTCGCCATTGCAACAAACTTTGTGCTAACTGCGAGGAAGATATAGGTAAAAAAAAGCCGCAAAGAACTGTTGCGTTGGTGGAGTAAACAGCGTCTGTGGGTCTTGCGTCTGTGGACTGCATGACAGGCGTACGTAAACCACGTTATGGTCATCATAATTACAAGGCTACTGCACCTCTATAATGCTATCATTGACAATTTGAAACAAAAAAAAATCCTCCATACAACCTTTAAATAAGAAGCCATAGACCACAAAATAATACAAAAAATAAACATTATTTAATTAACTTATGATTAACATCAGCAATAATTAATTGAATAAAAATGTAAATAGATCAAAATATTTTTAAGCAAATAATCAACAAAATTACCAAAATGACCAAAAATCATGCATTTAAAGTAAATATTAAATCAAACAAAATAAGAATAATTATCTCAGTCATTACAAAAATATGAAGCTGAATTTAGGCTCCAACAATATATTATTTATTAAATTACAGGTGTTTTTTTGCTCAGAAGAAAACTTGAATGAATGAGTGAATTCTTACTCTGAGTGACGTCGCCTCGCCAACAATCTGGTCCTATATTATGCAAACTTGACTCTTATGAGCTTTAAACTGTATTATAATGCTGTTACCTCATCAAAAACAGACCCAGAGTTGTGTTTTGTTTCATTTTCATGTTTGATTAATCCTGTATTATTAGTTTGTCGACATCTCCAAAGCTCAAAATGCCCTGTTCCAAGTTAAACATAAAGGTGATGAAGCGGAGTCAATTTGTCACACTATTGTCAACTGTGGTGCACTTTTGTTTTTAAACCCTGACATAAATCACATATAGTGGTGGTTTTCAAGTTAACTGCTACTTTTACCTTTTGTTCAGTCGAGATTGACAATTCCATGGCTGTTAGTGTCCAAATGATTCTAGTGACAGTGTTTGGAGTTTAAAAACACAATGGGACACTTCCTCAATAATGTAGGTATGTTTGTGATGAGGAAACAACAATAACAACGATCAGAAAATGACGTAATATAGGCCTTTTAAAGTTCACCTTTTTGGATGTTTTGGATGTCCTCAATTATCTGAATTATCTAAGTTTTTTTCACTTTTGATGCATTTAAAAAAACAAGCTGTGCAAAACGTCAATCTGGCTTCACAAATGTTTTGGACTGTACATATATTATACTATGGAACAGAGGTGGGGACTTGTACATTGTAACTTGGACTCGAGTCAGACTTGAGTCACTATTTTTAGGACTTGAGCCTTAACTTGATCAAATAGACCAAGACTTGGGATTCGACTTGGGCTTGAAGCTCAATGACTTGGGACTTGATTTGAGCCCTGTGACTTGAGAAGACTCCATGCTTCTCCTAAAAAAAAAGCGTGTTTTTTGAAAATATGTTTCTTTTCACAGTTGATAAATGTGGTGCTGAATTTTACAGGAACAAACTGGAAACATATTGCACCCACTTTTCTGTTTGTTACTCTGGATGTAACTGAAGTACTTTGACATGGTATCATCAGATGTACTACAGTCAGAGGTGGGACCAAGTCTTTATTTTGCAAGTTTCTAGTAAGTCTCAAGTCTTTGACCTTAAGTCCGAGTCAAGTCACAAGTCAAAGACACGCAATTCGAGTCTCGAGTCACTGGCCCATAAGTTCAAGTCATTTTCTAAGTCATTTCAAGTCTTTAAACCAAAGTACCAAACAGAGCTTAGCAATTTTTGCAATTTATATGAATTTTAAGATAAATTGTACTTAAAAAAAATCATAGAATATTTGTATATGAGTATTTATAGAGTATATAAGAATTGTAGAAATTAATTCAGTTAATTCTTAGTAGAAAGAATTCAGATTTAAAAGTGCTTCTCAAGTGTTCTCAAGTCACAGGCCTCAAGTCCAAGTCAAGCCCCAGTTACTGACCTTCAAGTTTAAGTCAAGTCCCAAGTCACTGACCTTCAAGTTCAAGTTGAATCCCAAGTCTTAGTCCATTTTATCAAGTCAAGTCTCAAGTCCTAAAAACAGTGACTCAAGTCTGACTTTTTACAGTACAGTTAAGCTTAAAGTTCATATAAACTGCAAAAATCAAATCTATATTTGGTCTCGACTTGGACTTGACTTGAACTTACAGGCCAGTGACTCGAGACTCGACTTGGACTTGCCTGTCTTTGACTTGGGACTTGGCTTAGACTTGAGGTCAAAGTCACTTGAAACTTGCAAAACAATGACTTGGTCCCACCTCCGTTATGGAACATGGTGAATGCCCCTCCACCAGAAAAGTTCCCCAGTTCAGCTTTAAATATCTGCATCTTCACTCTGTGTTTGCTTCCAGTTTGGTGGACAGTGACATTCATGCACAATGGCACGGCTCTAGCATCCCGGACTTCAGCAGAACCATTCTTCACCACACTACACTACATCCTATTTCCTATTTTTATTTTATATATATTCTCTACTTGCACTCAGCTGTCACACGCAGAGTCCTGGGGATGCGGACGAGGTGCCAAGCCAATTTTAAGTGTCCTGAGATGAGATAGAGTCAGACAGACAGGCAGAGGGCCCAAAATACCACAAAATAACACCAAACTTCACATGCGCTCAGAATGGAGAGATGGATATGTGGCCTAGTCAGCTCTTCTGCCTGCTGTCATATGCCTCCTCGCTCCAGGGCATTGTGGGAAATATGGAAGACTTGGCATGTGTGTCGGAGCATACTGATGATGGGAATATGCCGATTTATATATTATACAAACTTATAAATTTTTCCTGCAGTGAATGAACATATGCAAAATCCACTTTTATCAACTTTTAAACAGGCACTCGCTTTTCTGTGGGTTAGGGTTAAATGGGTCTAATCATACTGGGTCAACTCTGAACCGGGACTAAACCAGGACTGGACCAGGACTAAACCAGCACTGGACCAGGACTGAACCAGGACTAAACCAGCACAGGACAAGGACTGAACCAGGACTGAACCAGGACTGAACCAGGACTGAATCAGGACTGAACTTGGACTAAACCAGCACAGGACCAGGATTAAACCAAGACTAAACCAGCACTGGAACAGGACTGAACCTGGACTAAACCAGGAATAAACCAGGAATAAACTAGGACTGAACCAGGACTGAACCAAGCCTAAATCAGGACTAAACCAGCACTTGTCCAGGACTGAACCAGGACTGAACCAGGCATAATCCATGAAAAAACAGGACTAAACCAGAACTGAATCAGGACTAAACCAACACTAAACTAGCACAGGACCAGGATTAAACCAAGACTAAACCAGCACTGGAACATGACTGAACCTGAACTAAACCAGGAAAAAAACAGGACTAAACTAGGACTGAACCAGGACTGATCCAGGACTGAACCAGGACTGAACCAAGCCTAAACCGGGACTAAACCAGGGTTAAACCAGGGCTAAACTAGAACTAAACCAAGACTAAACCAAGACTAAACCAGGACTAAACCAAGACTAAAGCAGGACTAAACCAGGACTTAACCAGGACTGAACCAAGACTAAAGCTGGTCTAAACCTTGTCTGCACCAGGGCTTTTATAAAGCAGACTCCTATAGAACAAAGTCTAGTTTGATATGTGGTTTTAGTTCATATACGGTCCTTTTTCCATCCCTCCCCTCACCTCTTTCCCCTCTCAGCTCTAATGTTGTTACAAAAGCCACTTCAGACAGACGGAGGCGGTGATTGTTCAATATGTGTCCATTTGTTCTGCTCGAAAACCAAAGCTCACTTATAGATCACATCGCTCCAGCGTCTAGTGTGTAAAGAGCCCAGATGAGAGGCGGCAGGCGGCGAAAGAGAGGGAGAGAGAGGAGAGAAAGAGAAAGACAGACAGAGAGGAGGAGAGGGAGAGTGACAGGGAGAGAGAATAATAATAAATACATAATAATAATAATATAATAATAATAATACTACATCGGTTTTACATAGCACTTTTCACTGCACCAGGACGAAACCAGGACTGACCAGGAAAAAAACATGAATAAACCAGAACTGAACCAGAGTTGAACCAGAGTTGAACCAGGACTGAACCACGACCGAACCAGGACTGAAAAAAGACTGAACCAGGACTAAAACAGCACTGGTCCTGGACTGAACCAGGACTAAACCAGATCAACCCAGGACTGAACCAGGACAGAATCAGGACTAAACCAACACTGGACCAACACTGAACCAGGACCGAACCAGGAATAAACGATGAATAAACCTGGACTAAACCAAGACTGACCGAGGACTAAACCAGCACTGGACAGGCCTAAACCACTCTGATGAAAAGGTGAGTTTGGAGCTGGTTTCTGAAGTTTCAGAGGGTGGGGGCGGAGATGGCGAAGGCTCAGTCCCCCAAGGTCCAGGAGGAGGAGGTCAGTGCGGTGTGGAGGAGGCGTCTGGTTATGAAGGGCTTTGTAGGTGAGGAGGAGGATCTTGTGAAGTTGATGCGCTGCTGGATGGGGAGCCAGTGAAGAAGATGAAGATGATGGAGAGAGAGAAAGAGCGTGGTGAGCGCTAGAGAGAAAAATGAAGAGAAGAGGAATGAGAAGGTTTTTATGAGTCAGTGTGAGCGCAAAAGAGAGGAGGTGGGGGCTAGAGAGAGAGGAAAAGGAGACAAGAGAGAGGTGAGAGACTAACTTTTAACAATTATGTCACTTGTCACTTTAAAAAAAAAACTTTAAAAATGAGCAGAACTAAAGAACAATCACACATTTGTCACATACCAGCTGCTCCAGGGGTGTAGTGGGCGTAGTATGCGGGGCTACACCGTTCACCCACTTCTCCCGACGTGAGATATAAAAAAATAACAAATATAAAATAGTTACAACTTAAATGTCAAACCGGAGCTACTGGCAACGGAGAAAACAACCTGCATAGACTCATGATATCTGCAGAACTGTCCTATAGTGACCTGCGACATGAGGGAACCAGGACTGAACCAGGAGGACTAAAAGACGACTAAACCAGGTCTAAACCAGAACTGAACTAGTACTAAACCATAAATGAACCAGGACTATGTGTCAGGACAGGCCCAGAGGTGCACCCACGTAGACCGTCGGGTGACTGCAGGCGAAAGGAGCGGTGCCCCATGGGGCTAAGCACAGCCGTCGCCCGAACGTGCTTTGCGGATACCCTGCTCCACAGTTCAGGGTTCTTTTTCTCGCTTTCAAGTCCAAGATTAGTTCTAGTTTAGGCCTGGTTTAGTCCTGGTTTAGTCCTCCTGGTTCAGTCCTAGTTTAGTCCTGGTTTAGTCCTGGTTTAGAGCTAGGTTAGTCCTGGTTTAGTCCTGGTTTAGAGCTAGTTTAGTCCTGGTTTAGAGCTACTTTAGTCCTGGTTTAGCCCTCCCGGTTCAGTCCTGGTTTAGAGCTAGTTTAGTCTTGGTTCAGTCCTGGTTTAGTCCTGGTTTAGTCTTGGTTTAGTCCTGGTTTAGAGCTACTTTAGTCCTGGTTTAGCCCTCCCGGTTCAGTCCTGGTTTAGAGCTAGTTTAGTCTTGGTTCAGTCCTGGTTTAGTCCTGGTTTAGTCTTGGTTTAGTCCTGGTTTAGAGCTACTTTAGTCCTGGTTTAGCCCTCCCGGTTCAGTCCTGGTTTAGTCTTGGTTTAGAGCTAGTTTAGTCTTGGTTTAGACCTGGTTTAGTTCTGGTTTTGTCCCCCTGGTTCAGTTCTCCTGCTTCAGTCCTGTTTTAATCCTGGTTCATGTGTTGTAGCCTATGATTTATGCTCTGTAGGTGATTATGAAAGGCGTTAATATTAACATCGATGGCGTCACAAATCACGTACTCCCACTTAAAAAATCCCCACTGAACCTCTCTCTACAGCTGTAACACTAAAACTAACCTGTCCCTCACTGAACACATTGAACACACCGTCCACACCGTCCACGTGGCCTCAAAGAATCAGAATCAGGAGGAGAGAGGTCACTGTTTAGCTCCATAATAATTGTTTTAAACCGTTTGTAGCTTGTATCTGTAATCTTCAGTGAGAGGGACTTGTTTAACAGCACAAACTCAAATCATCTGTTGTTGTTTCTATTAAATTCAGATTCTGTTCAAATAAAATTCTGATTAAAGTCTCACTTCAGTATCAGAGCTTCGTTAAATGCAAAGCCTTCATTTAGCTGAAGGGAATGTTGATGCAAAATATCATTTCTTTATAAGCCCACATGTACTTTAAAATAAACATTTAATTTGATCTTGAGAGACTTGACTTGTTTCTGAATTTTACCAAATCTCAAAGAAAAGCTGAACTGTTGTTTCATTATAACACGTCTGAGAGAGAGAGAGAAAGAGAGTGATAAAGAGAGAGTGATAAAGAGAGAAAGCCAGCAGAAAGACAGAGAGAGAAAGAAGGTGAGAGAGAAAGAAAGAAGAGAGAAGGAGGGAGGGAGAGAGAGGGAGAAAGAGAGAGAGGGGGTGGGGAGCTAAAGAGAAAGGAAGAGAGAGCCAGAAGAAAGACAAAGACAGAGAGAGAAAGAAGGTGAGAGCGGAAAGGATGGGAGTAAGAGGATGAGAGAGAAACAGAACAGAGGAGGAAGGGGGGAGAGGAGAGAGACAGAAAGAGAGAGGGGGGGGGATAAAGAGAGAGACAGATAAAGAGAGAGGGAGATAAAGAGAGAGAAAGCCAGCAGAAAGACACAGAGAGAAAGAAGGTGAGAGAGAAAGAAAGAAGAGAGAAGGAGGGCCAGAAGGAGGAAGGGAGGATAGAGAGAGAGAGAGAGAGAGCCAGAGGAAAGACAGAGAGAGAAAAAGGTGAGAGCGACAGAGAGGGAGAGAGAAGGAAAGAAGGAGGAGGGAGAGGTGGAGGCTAGAGAGAATGGGACATAAGGGGAGAAAGAGGAAGGTTAAGTGCTAAACAGAAAGGTGAGAGCGAAAGAGCGAAGAAGAGAGAGGGAAGGTGAGAGAAGGAGAGAGACAGCAGAAGAGAGAGAGAGCGACGCCCACCTGCCATCCATCCATCACCCTGTTTTCCCCCGGGGACAGTTGAGAGCTGTACATGTGCAGGTCATGTGACAGCAGATCATATGGGAGGATACAGGGTCACGAGTGTAACAGGATCACACCACGGACACCTTCTTATTCAGTCTGGTTACTTCACATGCACTAAAACACTGGAATAAAACCATCAAATGACTATAAAAATCAGACAGATGTTGGTAAATGTGGCACAGAGGTGGAAGAAGAACTTGATTTTGTTACTTGAGAAAAAATATACTCAAGTAAAAGTATCACATGAAAGTTTATAAGTTTACTAAATGGGTTTATTTTGCTGAAATGCCATGTCCAAAGTGCTCTTAACAGCCTTGTAATACAGTAGTCAGTAGTCGGTGTGTTTTTAAGTTTTGTATTGATACTTTGAGATGACATCCTGCAGGGGGTGACCTCTACTGTACAGTGGAAAATTCAGAAATTACCACAAAGTGGCACAATGCACACATGAACAAACACTGCCAAAAAACTTGACTAAATACACAATGGATTTAAAGACATTTTCGGGTAGCCAGGCCAGCGCCACCTAGTGCCTCCGCTCACTAAGACAGGGATGTCAAACTTATTTTAGTCCGGGGGCCGTATCCAACCTACTTTGATCCCAAAGGGGCAGGATCAGAAAACTCATGGCATATAAACCCCAAAAATAGCAATAAATTCAAATATTTGTGCAGAGAAACACAAATCTACTACAGAAATCCTTTTTTAATTGATGAACTCTTTCTTTTACAAAATATGATATTATGAACAACCTGAAACATATACAATACAATACAATTTCAACACAATGTTTTAACATGAACTTGTATGCAAATAGGAATAAGTCAAATTTTCTTGGAAAATCCTGCACTCGGCGTCCACTTTTCTCATTTTTGACATTTTGCTGATGAGGGTGTCATGGTCAACAGTCAAAACGATCGTCCTTTAAGAGCATTTGGAAAGAGACACGTCTTCATTCGTGCTGCTCTGGTGGGAGGGGCCACGTACAGAGACGCTGGAGACGCTGCTGTGATAAACGCCGCAGAAAATTAACAATATTTTAATAGAAAATTTAATTAAAATATTTTAGTAGAAAATCAGCCGAGGGCCATATTAAAGGTCTTGAAGGGCCGGATCTGGCCCCCGGGCCGTATGATTGACACCCCTGCACTAGGGAATCGGAATACACCAGACGGTATGAGAGAACCTCAGAAGCTGTAGAACACACACCTGCCAATCAGCAAAGATCTGTGAAGCCATGACTGGTCCTTTTGTGGTTCAGCACAACAGTAAACAAAGTGGTCGAGATGGATGTAGACGAAGCGAATATTCTGTGTTGGCAACGATTCCCGAGATCAAGGATTTAAAGCCGGAACAAAGAGAATGTTTGGTGAATTTTATCAAGGGGAAAGACATTAGTGCCCTTCTTCCTGCGGGATTTGGGAAAAGCTTAATATACCAGTTAGCCATGTTAATGGTGCATTACAAACAACACGACCAAATAGCAGCGATTGGTTAAATTTAAAAAGTACCCATCTACCATCGAGCGAAGAAATCCTAATGCTGCGAGGTCAGATGGTTTCCACTAAGTTAAACCGGCTGATGAATCAGGCTAATTTCCAGGAGCCTGTGATCTAAACGAGCGTTCATGGGCTTGTTTAGGGGCTTCATTTTCAACAAAAAAGGTGAGCATGACTAAGTGAAAAATTGTTGGCTAATGCTGGTTTTCTTGAGGCTGTAATGTTTCTTGAGAGGAACTTGTTTAACAGCACAAACGAGGAGCTCACCTGTTGTAGATCCAGCTACCAGATAAGTCACTTCTTTCAGGTCAGAGTGTGATAAAGCAAAGCTCACATCTATCTATTCATTCAAGGACCATCTGTCTGTGTTTGTTTGTCTGTTTCGCGCATAACTCTCGAAACACTTATCTGACCGATCTCAAATGCGGAGGGTGTCATCTTAATGGGAAAGGTGTGTGCAGTGCCAATTTTCACGTTGTTAGGACAAAATGTGCCAAAGATCTGGTAAAATGAGTGACATATTTTAAATACTAGGTCAAGTTTAATTTAAGTAACAAAGCTTCAGACAAACAGTGCTTACAATTACTTCCACCCTCAGGGAATATGGATGAAAAACAGTACATTAAACAGGCTGTGTGGGTACAACCTGATACTGTACGATCAGATGACTATGAGCATAATATTACTTAAGATTATGCAACATAGAAACATTTGGGTGGAGTGTTTAGTGCATTGTGATAAAGTTATTCACAGTAAAAGAAAGTGCTGCGCTGTGACAATAACTAACCATAACATTTTATCTCACACCAAATGTTGCTGTGGCCATCCCTCTGAGAAACAGAAGCAGAGGACGTCCAGCTCGTGCCTGTCTCCTCATGACGTTACATTAGCGGCTGGTTTGTAATTGGACACAGTGCGGTCTTCTCCTCATGTGTTA